TTCTGGACAAGAATACTTTATTCTATAATGCAGTGACTGGTGTCTTACTGCAAATCTTGAAAAGTTGCGGACGCAATGTATATCACAAACAAAAGACGCCTTGCTTATGCAAACGGTTCAAAGCGATAATCGTAACAAACAATAATATGCTAAAACTACCTCAACCTGAAATATTCAATAAATGATTATAAAATGGGTCATTACAAATGAATAAACACTGGCTTTTATATATTTTCCAACAGAAAATTTAGAAATTAACGTACCATTTTGGACAACGAATTCCTAACGCTTAATCGTTCAGAAACTGGCAATTACAACCTGCAGTACAGTAATCGCGAGCGTGTATCAGACTGCGGCTCATTTCTGTACGCTCGCGCAACCTTACGATAATGTACTCAAATTGAAACTCTGCTTGTTACTGAATATTCTTCTAACTGGTGGCATTGAAAACTAATAGTTTGCTACCAAACCCAATCGTCGGTCAATTTTGAAATTGTCATTAAAGAGGTGAGCTAACTGTACAAATCCAATAACTGACTAATTCCATTTAGACGAATTATGAACAACCATGTTACCAAAGGATAGTCAATCAAAACATAAATCGCACGCAAGTTTGGCCGTAGCACTGCAATAATTTATACACTGTTCCGCTTTCCTATGAAAATAAGTGGAAAGTCTGTAACATTTTTAAAACATATTATGTGTCTTCCGAAGAAATTTCAAGAGGAACGAGGCACTGGTTTGAAGTTAATTTTTATACATAGTTAATCAAAATAAGTACATTTCTATCTTAATAGTTGCAACAATCAAAACACTATTTTACAAGTGCGAACCGTTGTCCAATCTAAAACAAGATCCGCAACTATTCTGCATCTCATCTAATAATGAGCAGCCAGATGGAAGTATACAGCTTAATAAGATAACAAGCCTTATTGATCATATCAGTTTAACCCATTTGGTACTCATTTGCAATTACACAAAAGGAACTGATCACAGGAATCATGTGTAGATAAAAGCGGAAACCAATTTTTTGACAAAAGCTATGTAACCGTAAAATAAAGAAAGGAACATAAGCTAAAACACCGCTGTTTAATGAGAATAAATGGATCGTAGAATACCTTAAAGGCTTCTACTGACTACTTCTATCTTCATCCGCAACTTGGATGCAATATCCTTGTAAATTGACTCCCAATTAGAATCTGCTCGTACGTGTAACGTTCTTAGTAGCTTTGACTTTTTATTTTTCTTTCGTGTTCATTCATTTTGTTACTCCGCTTGTTGCTTAACTAAATAAATCGGATACCCAGTGAGAGTGCGAAGTCTATAAAGGTTTCGACGTTTAAATAAATAAGAATGAAACCGAGTTCTCATTACCTGCTAGCAAGCGACAGCATCACGAATGGTAGCCCCGTCATATTCCTGACAGTTGTTATTAAAGAGCTGAGAACTGTTCGTGCTTAACCCAGACTTTCAAACTCAGTGCATTGACTGAAATTATGACAGGAGGAACAGGAAATCTGCATGCTGAGCGGGAAGCAGATTACTTTTGAATTAGTCAGTAAACCGAACAGGACTTTTCGTCCGTTTCTTATACTCCCTACTTCTACTTAAAACTCTCCAGTACACTCTTCCGGATTTCTCTACCATCTCCATCAATAAAATTCGACTGACTGCGTCAGTTAAGAATCCAAGCCATGAACCCGCTTCCAGTAAGACTCGTCATCTCAACGGGGACTAATAAACCAATCGGGGATCATCCAAAAGGTAGCTCACCGCTAAGCGATGTAAAATCGTTGGGGATCTTGCTCCGGACTTGGATGCAGTTTTACACTGGACAACACGCCTCCAATTTATTTTGGTATATAATGCATGAATTTTTACTTGTGCCAATGCCTCGCTCCGCTTGAAACTTCTTCGGAAGAACACATAGTATGCTTCATTATGTACTACAAGTACCTTCAGAAAAAGTTATTTGTCGAAATTTGTAACCACTGAAATGCCGATCTTCCTTAAGCTTTTATTTTGGGGCCATTTTCAGCACTCCCGCTTTCATGAAGTTAACGTCAAGACCGCTGGTTCCATTTACATACTATCAACAGTAATGTCTTACATTTTTAAAGGCATAATCTACGGCAACTCTGTGACAAACATAGTATATATTCCCGTTTCTTCCAAAATCATTTATCAAAGTAATAATTATCAACCTCAGATAGACGAAATACAGATTATTCTGCTCGGTGTTCGAACTCAACACCTTTTTCTTTTGAATCCATGCTATGCCAACTACTAAAGTAACTCCGGTCAGGAACATGTGGCAAATTTTTAGCTGAATGCACTCATCGTAATGTCAAAGATTTCTCTACGCAGGAATCGAAATCGGGACCTCCGAAATGCGTATTCGAAGCCGATTAATTACCACCGCTTGTGTGAAAATGTTACAGCAGACGGAGTGCATTCAGTTGCACCATCTTCTCCGCCAATGTTTAATCAGTTGTAAAACGTTATCAATGCTTTGGAAACTTCTAGGGAATTGCAATGCCCGAAAAGAAAGTACTTTGGATATCGCTTTCCACCACTTTTGGAAGGCGGCAGTGCATTGGGTACGAAGTTTGGTTTGCGCTTCAAAGAGATGGACTCAAATTCCGTGCTTAGTGTAAAGCCATTTTCAAATATGCATCGTACAATAATCCGAGAAATGGGTAACAAATCGTTCGCCTCCAAATGGCATAGATGGCCTAATAATGCGATTTATGCATGACATAGTGTTCAAAGCGTGTGATCACAATGCCTGCTGCGTGTTCCTTAGTACTGCAGTTCGATTTATTCCATCTGACAGTTAAAATTAATAATAATCGGAATAGATATAAATCATAATTATGTGTTTATCAACGATTTCTGACACAAGTCTGTCAAAATTAAGCAGTTTGCAAGTTTCCACAAAGGCGAGCTGGAAAATCGATAGGCCCACTCGCAACGAATGAATTTCCCCAAGCTCTGAACATTCTCAGCAAGGCATGATCATGAAATATCTAAATTAGCAAAGTTGTTTGTTTGCATACCTTAGTAAAACTGCAAAATGTCCTTGTACGCCTTTAGCTGTCACGTTAATTGGAAACTTAATGGTTGTAACGTTACTTAAATTTCGCAAAATTTCTTTGCAAGCGCTCAGACTTAAATAAATGACAATATATAACTACTGTGATGCACATCTTCACTTCACTTTTGATGATCCTTTTTTTCTTTCGGTTCGAAGAGATAGGCGTATAAGATAATGACTCTAACATGCCCAGTCCTGCACCAGCATCTGAACTTCGACAGAAATCATTCGGAATTTAAGATAGACTCGTTCAATACACTTGCATCGGGTAAAAATCTTGGCCGCCCTCTGGGAGGTCAACGACGTTTTGGCAAGGACCGCGGGTTTGTGTCAGCGCTTGGTCCTGCAGTCGCCGCATTAAATCTGTATAACAGTGCAATGGACAGCTGCATGAATTGCGTGACTCAGTACATTATGTCATACGTCAATTGATAGTTCTCTGTGATTAGTAAAGTAGGGTTGCCAAACTGTTCAGTTTCATATTACTTCCATTGTGACACTGCGCGATGTCAACACGCATTCTGCAGTCAAGAGTTTGAATTTATGTCATTGGCAGATGGTAATCTGTAACATTGATTTGAGTTCGCCAATTATATTTCATATCAGTAAAAAGCTCTCTACGAGTACAATGCAATGTCATTTTCAAGCAAAAAATGCTAATCATGATCGTTTTATTTTACAATTCAACTGGTGTGACTGCGCCAAACCGCTAAGCCAGAGCGCTGTCATTTGATCTCGAGTCAGTTAATATAATAACAAATAGTCATCCGTATCTGTTACTCTCGTTCTCCAGTCCTGGCGCAGATTGACAGAAAAGTGAAAGAACAGCTTTAAGCATTTCAGAGCGAAATTCTTCAATTTCTGAAGCCTTTCTATTTTTCAAGGCTTTTACATCTTGTATGATTTCATCTACAGAAACACTCGTACTTTTTGCTGCTCTACAGGCGCCTCTTTGTGCGATTGCTGGATATTAAACAGTTTTTCAGGCTACTCTCTCTACCACGAAGAATGTCTTAATCCTGGGTAAGACAGAGTCCAGTCTTGTCCTTCAAGACTTTTAGACTGCCCTTGTTTTGTTTTCATCTCGGAGTCGGCGAATGGTCTGCGAGAATACCTAGTTTGCCGTACGTAAACTCCACTCCAGCACCTCCCCGAACTTCTCTCAGGAATCAGTCTTTGGCTTTCGCCATTAATTTCGCTGTCGACTTAGGCCATTCTGTATACCGCATGCGATTGAAGACTCTTTGCTTCTAGGTTATATTCAGAAGTCGTTTTCTTCTCTGTGACAGCTAGCTGTGCCTCTTAGGTCTATCAAGAAGTTCGTTTCTGGCCTCCAGGCGGCAGCCAACCCGATTAATACCGCTGTATTCTTCGGCAGTTCGGAGTAAATTGCTGTTACAAAGTGTCTGCTTAGTTCTCACATCTGCGGTAATGACTGAAATTTATTTAAACCGTCCTGCGATGTTGTTTTCAAGTTTTGTTTTCGTATCCGCGAAAGATAATGTTTTTTATTTGATTCTCTGGTTGCTTCTACCAGGTCTTCGTGTAGTACACCAACAACAAAGTGCCACATATTATATATTTTTGAATGACCAATCTGTATGTAAATGTACTAATGCTGTGCCATGATTATCCAAATATGTGGATGGAGTATTCTGTGCTTGTTGCATGTGGTTAAATGTTATAGTATTTTTCAGTAATATTTGCTAACAATATTTGTATAATGATGAGTTTCAGGTCATTCTTATGGTAGTGTTTCGGAATATCATCTCTTCCAGTTGGCATAATAGTTAACGCAGGATAGGAATAATATTATCTGAACAGCGTTTGTTTTGTATGCTGGTTATTGATCTTTTGCTTCAAATGTTAGAACGTTCAATTGTTTAGATTTAGAACGGAGAAGATGACCAAAGTCAAAAAGGACAAGCGGGAGAAGTCGACGGCAAACGAAGTTGTTACCCGCGAATACACGATAAATCTGCACAAGCGCATTTATGGAATGTAAGCATTTCTTTGATACTTCTTATGATTTTGTTCTTTAATCCAATTCTTTTGCTCAGAACTTTCAAGAAACGTGCCCCGAGAGCCATTAAGGAAATAAAAAAATTTGCCGTCAAACAAATGGGTACCCCAGATGTTCGAATCGAGACTCGACTAAACAAGCATGTATGGCACAAAGGCATTAAGTAAGATATTGAGCGTTCGACTTTCTCATGTACTATATAATGCAAGTAAGGTGATATGTAGACTCTTTTAACACTTAACTGGATCGTTCAAGCTGTGATAAGTTAAAAATGTTTGAATGATTTTAAATCGCACGTAGCCACGTATAGAGAAAATTTTGCGAATCATTATCGAAAATGAGGTAAATTAAGTTGAAAAAAAATACAAAAAGGTTTATTTTCTTTAGGGCCTTCTTACTGACCATCATGAGGTTAGTTGTGGCAGTGCTTAACACAATTGATTTCTACAAAATTTGCTGCTGTTGTGAAACATCGATAGGAAATAGGGTTTTATTACCATGTGATGAAATGTCATGCTCGAAACCAGATTTTGATTGGACCTGCGAAATGGTTGTGGCGAAATAGGGTTGGCAGGTTCAGTCGAAACCTAGCCCGTAGGGTAACATCGTTATTGTTCTACGAGCGTGCTGATAAACGAATGCGCTATATGTTGAAAGGATATATGGGAATCTATAGGTTTGTTTTATAAACGGTTTATGATGACTTACGTCGCATGTGCCGGCACTGAACGATTGCAAGCGGTGAGATCGAAATACCTTTCTGTTTGGAGGAAGTTACTACTGAGTGTTTTATTCCTTTTGCTTGCCAAATCTTGTTAGCTATGTTCCCGTCGTTTTATTGACCAGCTTTAGCAGATTTTTAGATAGTAGTCTTCATAAATTCTTTCGTTGCTTGTATTTGTATTTTTCTGCTGTTCTTTCCTGTATTTATTTGGTGAATGTTTCTTGTGTCGGTGCTGCCGAGTAAGATTAATTTGTGGTGAAAAGTACTTAATTTATTATGTTGCTAGTATTCACTTCTTCTTCACTTTCTTCAAACTTATCTACTGGCTGTATGACTAGAGCGTCAACAACACTAGGGTTGTTTAAGCAAACTGGATGAATTATTCTTTCAAGTTTCTTAACTGCCTGATTATATATTTAATTAATTACTTAACTTTTTTACTTGTTGCGTGTCCATTTTTTCGTGCATGTTTGCTTAATTTTTCTTCGAAAACTCACGTAGCTCCCTGGTTTTCTATTTCAAGAGGAGTTTTAATGATTCATCGGTTACAGCCACGTAAAGGCTACTGATGTTTATCTGCTTATTTTATTTCATTGCCAATTTTTCACCCAAACGTTTTATCATCAGGTCAAACAGTCAGCTGAAGCAGTAGAGTCCGAACAGACAGGACAATGAAAGCGCCACTTCCTGTAGATATCAAACGAATTTACGCTGCTATGCACGTCCACGCCTTGTGTTTGCTCTCACAGATAATCAGTTATTAATAAGTAATTTGACCCTGTGATATTGTTGGCTATCAATTGTTCCAAGGTTTGGTAGTAATTTTCTAGTTCGTGATCAACAAAATTAGTATTCACAATAGTGATTCACAGAAAATTTCTCAAGTTCGTTAGGTTTTATTTTTAAATTCTTTAAAATATTTTCTGTACATTTACAATAACAATTTTTACAAGATGAAGTAAGTAACATTGTTAGTTTTCATGCGATGACGATAACGATTATTCGTTAATGTAGATTTCAGATGAATAACTCATCTAAGTCCAGATTTCAGAGCGTATTATGCTACCTCTTTGACCCTAATTACTTGGAAGGCATTTAAGCAGTGAAGGTACCATGATATTTTCTACAGTGGTAGATACATCATTTATCCCATAAAGCAATTCTGATTATCATCATTAACGGTTCAAGGACTGGTACTCCATATTTGCTGCTGCATAAACGAAAAATATGGATTTGTGCGGCTTTCGAATAACTTCTTTAGCACCATTTTTCCAATTTTAGTCCCTTGAAAAAATACAGAGTCTACAATCTTCTAGAAATTTGTGAAATTCGTCACATACACCGAGAACAAATTTATTGGCAATGAAATTATTATGTTTAACGGGACAGGGTCAGGACTTTGGATATACAGGAACAGGACCAAAATGCGATGTAATGGAAAATATTCAAATAATTTATCAGAATAATTTGACTAGCGATTTAAGGATGTCTCATCTGAAAGAAGCCGGTTGTTGAGCAGTATGTAAGTGCTCTAAATCAGATGAATTTCGTTACCGTTTTAGAAAAAATCGAATGGTGTAAGAAGCGAGATTTAAGTACCTGTTGGAGTGATGCGGTTTCCTTTAAACGGAAAATCGTGCAGAACGTATATACCTTAATGACGCATCAATTAAAAATATGTTATATTACTGTTGCTGTTACGTCAGTCCGCAGTAGCAGGTAGTACGTCCTGTTTCTAAAAAAATAACTTTATGCATAGCCAGATAATTAGTTTATGCAACGAAAGATGACATGGATAACAGAAATGAGATAAAGGTTTAAAATCAGGAATACGAAGACTAAGAGCCATTCTCACTGTTCTGTATCGATTCCATCCATCCTGCATAAGTGAGCTGAAAAGTCATCTCAAATATTTACTAGGTTTCGTATTCATATTTTGTTAATATATCTGTGAGGGAGTTGTGGTGTTGTGGCTCGCGATGAAGATTTGGAAGATATCCTTTTGCTGTTTGTCCTCGTGTCTTAACCATCACCGGATCGTAAGTAATCCCAGCTTTTGGAAAACTAAAGCGATGGCCCGCACTTACGGCCTCGGTGTTCTTCCGTAAGTCACGCATTTAGTGAGTTCAACAGGAATTTCAAGCAGGGTGCTGACGTTCGTAAACTACAGCCCTCGTCTTCAAAATCCTTCAACCAACCCATAGAGATTCAGAAAGGGGGCGCTTGGTAAGGTTTTGGTCGCGGTAGGGTTCACTAACCAGTATTGGACCTCACCGTCCTTTCTTACGGGAGTCAAAAGCGAAGAAGGCCAAAATAGACACTCTCAGCATGTGCGAAACCAGAACATCCGCGGAAGTCTTCGCACATTGCAACAACGATGATCAAATATTCCTCGAGAAAACGTATAAAAACTGGGCTCAGACAAACAGGCGGTGTACGATTCATCGTAAAATGGAAGGCTATGTCGCTCGTAGTCAGCTTAGTACGACCTCGTGATAATTTTTCAGGCGGAAAATAGACGATCACTAATAAACTAATAGTTGAACTTCAAAGAACAAGTGGATGATTAGAAAGTAGAGCGGTGAGGAACGGGAAAGTGCATTGCAAAAGTTTTCTACACTCAATCGTTCAAGGAGAATTCAACGCCATTATAGGAAAGGAAACAACCAAGACATCGTGGTTCATCGATCAGTTTAAAAGTGGAAACGAAGGCAACTGCAACTTCTTAATGCTTGCTGAAAGTAGTAACCACCTCCACATCATGAATACCACGTGGAGGAGCCGTGATCGAACGACCGTCATTCAAATCGTCTACCTGCTGAGGGACACAAAGCCGATAATAATGTCTGTCATTGAGGAAAACATTGTTTGCATAGTCACACCACCGATTACTCTGCTCCACTGTCACAAGCGATGTCAGAATCTGGTTAGAAGGGCTCAAAATCTATGGACCAATTGACGAATATTCGATCTTGAAATTCACAGGCTAGCTTCCTCCGCTGAACCTTGCAGTAAACTTCAGCAGAGGCATCGATGGAGATTGCCAGCATTTCATCGATACCATCAGTGTTACCATCCGGACAGCAGTCTCGACGAAGAGGCAACGCACCAGCCCTGCAACAAGACATCTGTTTACCAGAAGAGCCAGAATGAAGGCTGATCAGTAATTGGATGGCGAGTGCACGAAAACGAAGCTGAACAGACCGCGTTAAAGAAGAATAGTTTGAAGGAGGCGGAAAAAGGCATCCTCTTGAAAAAGCAGAACCCTAACGCACGAAAGAATAATAAGAAGCACAGGTGGCCGTCGTATGAAAGCTGTTTGCACGAGGTTATGCAT